AAGATGAGCCTGAGCAGCCCGAGGAGCAGCCGAAAGAGCAAGCACAACAAACGCATCAAATGCCTCCATATTTTCAATCCTTTATGGAGACATTCGATTTCCGATACGCTACCATGGATTCATGCTTTTCTTCTATAGAGTCCCACTTATCCACAATGGGAGCTCAACAATTAGAAATTATTCGGGAGATGTGTGCAAACAATGAAGCAACCAACGCGCGTATTAATGACCTCACTCACGATATGACCGCTATGCGAGCTCGTTTTCCTCCTCCTGATCCTGATATGTGATTCTATGTTTTGCTTTGAACTCCAAACTTATTGTTTTAACTTTTTGAATATTTTGGAATGTTTGAATTTGTGGATTGATTGACTTTGAATTTGTTTAGATTTATGAATGGTTAGAAATTATCTATTTGGTGTGATTAAATTTATTCATTATTGCATCATTTACTTCATGATTAGATATATGACCAATTTTGCCATTTCACATTAACTATGAATATTGATTATGAAACTAATGGCTAACGTTTCTCTTGCTTGTGATCTTAGCAGCTTAAAATATAATCAAATGGCTAAATGATTTCAAAACCTTGTTTAATTCTTTAAAATGTCTTTTTGATTTAACAAAAAGGGGGAGAAGTGTTAAATGTGTTAAATGGGAGAAGTGTTAAAGTAATGGGGAGTAATTTCAAAACTTGATTTCAAAATCTCAAAATCTTAAAATTACTAAAATGTTTTGTTATATCAGAAAGGGGGAGATTGTTGAAAACATTTTGATATTTCGATATAACAAATTAAGTTAAATGAATTTTAAGATTTTCCAAATGATTTTCTAAGTATATTCGATAGAATTATTCGAATATCAAAACATTACTCCAAATCTTTCAAAGATCATTTTTAATCCTTACTCAAGTGTAAAATTAAGTTTTAATCATAAAACAATTTCAAAATAATTTTACAAAGTATTTTGAACCATTTCAAAGCCAAAAATTCCAGATTGCTCAGAGGGAACCGATTCCCCCCAAGGGGGTACCGATTCCCCCCTGAATGGTTTGGCTCCGAGAATTCTAGTATGCTCGGAGGGAACCGATTCCCCCCAGGGGGTACCGATTCCCCATTGTATAACGGTCGAAATATTTGAATTTTACACTTAGGGAACCGATTCCCAATAGGGGGTACCGATTCCCCCCACGCTCCAAGCTGTTTTATTAATTGTTTTCACACTAAAACGGCTATATTATCTTCTCTAATAATCCCCAACATTCAAAAGTGATTCAAGGTGTATTTAAGCAAGCTTAGAAGCCATTGATCAATAACAAGAAACATTAAGCAATTAGAATCAAGAGAGAATCAAAGAGAAAGCATCAAACCTCAAGTTTGAGCATTTCAAGCCTATTTTTCATTCAATATTCATTTTTCTTTCAAGAACACTTATTGTGCTCAATTGTATTTATTCTTGAGTGTTCTTTCTCTGTTCTAGAATTGTGCAAACATATATTTCCTTGTGAGGTTTTTCTTGTAAGTTTGCAAATTTGTATTTCTCTTTGAGAAAAGAGTGTTCTCAAGAATTGGGGTATATTCTTGAGGGAGTTGTAAGGTTATCTCTTTGGCCTCAAAAGAAAGAACAAATTAGTGAATTTGTTGGAAAATCATTAGTGTGGATAGCTAAGGTAGTGGACGTAGACTTTGGTTGATAAAGTCGAACCACTCTAAATCGATGTGCAATTTCTTTCAATTTTCTGCAAAAGCTTCCACCAAAATTTTTATTGCCAATTCAGTCAATCGATTAACTCAACAATTTCCAACATCATTGTTGCCATTAACTTATACAACGTTTGAACTTTCGAACAATGATGATGTTGAAATGATGGTTGAAGCTCAAAGTAATTATTCAGACGCCGCTATTGAGATGTATGCATATTTTGTTCATGTGCGTGTTATTCGGGGTCAATCATTAAGCTCCCACTATGGGCTGACTGAACAAGTAGACAGCCCGACGACAGTAATGTGTAATGATTTTAATGCCATAATGGGGAGATATTCATCCGCAACTCCTTACGATATGTACCAAGGTAGATCGACGAACAATCCGTATGACAACATCGCGTCCAGTTCAAGGGGAATGCATTCATCTGCAAATCCCTTTGACCTTAATATGGAGATGTCATCGACGCAACCATCTGTGTAGTTTCCATTTGACGCGATGGCTTCAAGCTCTAGGGGGAGGCATTCGACTGCGAGCTTTTTCGATCCCAATGTCGATATGCCTTCCAGTTCAAGGGGAAGGCGTGCAAGTAGTAGGTTCTTTGACCTAAATGTGGAGAGCATGGAGGAACCATCATCTCCACCAGAAGAACCGCTTCGTGAGCCTGGTGCGGATGGTGCTGAGACTGGACTGTTCATTGACCCAGAATCACCGCAATTCAACTTCGATGATGATGAAGTTCCAGGAAATGTGGCACAAACTGACCCTCCTGCACACATGTATGAAGCTGATTATGGTGCAATGTACGGGCCAGAATTTACGGATATGCCTCATCTCGGTGACTATGGGTGTTACTCATCAATAAATAATGGTGAGTTATCTTTAGGCATAAAGTTTTCAAGCAAAGAAGAAGCGATGATGGCTATCAAAAATTACAATATTCGTAATTCTGTTTAGTCCAGAATAGACCGCTCCACGACCGAAAAATATGTATGCTACTGTGCCCAGCGCGAAAACGGATACAATTGGATGGTTCGCGTATCGAAGAGGAAGAGGAAAAACAACAGATGGGAACTAACAGTATACAACGGTCCTCACACATGTTGTGCTGGAGGGGTCAACCAAGATCATCCCAACTTGGACTCTGAAGTGATATGCCAAGCCATCATGCCCATGGTCAAAGCAAGCTCTCATATAGTTGTTACAGTATTGATTTCAGCTATACAATCGCAGTATGGGTACACTGTCTCCTATAAAAAGCTTGGTTGGCAAAACAAAATGTCATTGTCAAACTTCATGGCAAATGGGATGCATCTTACAACGAACTTCCAGGTTGGTTTAGGCTGGTGCGAACGTTGAATCCTGGGACAATTGTGGACTTCGAAACCTCCTATGCATACCATAATGATCGAGTTCTTCGCGATCGATGTCAATTCTACCGGGTTTTTTGGAGTTGCCCACAGTGCGTTAATGCTGTCAAATTCTGTGTGGTCCAGATCGACGGGACTTTCTTGTATGGAAAATACAAGCAAGTTTTATTATTGGCAGTTGTCCAAGATGGCAATCGCAACATTCTTCCAGTTGCTTTTGCTCTTGTCGAAGGAGAAGATACGACTTGGGCTTTTTTCCTCCGAAATTTACGTGCACATGTTATCACGAGGGAAAACATCTGTGTCATTTTAGATCGCGGAGCTGGGATCAAAGCATCAATGGAGTCTTTGGGTCCAATGTGACAACCACCCTTTGTAAACTGTCTTCCATTATATATCTGCTAAAGAATTATATTAGTAAAATATTAAATAAAGTAAAAATATAATAGTAAAAATATTATAAAATATACCTTAAAAAGAGAGTATTTGAGAGAAATTTAGAGAATTTGAGAGAATTTGGTGTGATAAAATTGATTGAGAATGTGATATTTATAGGGAGGAGGGGTCGGCAGTTAGGGGTATAACGCGCCCCCCGCACCGCGCTATACCCCACGTGTCAAATATACAGGTATAGCGCGCTGCAGGGGCCGCGCTATACCCACGTGGCGCCAGCTCACCGTATAGCGCGGTACAGGGGGCGCGCTATACCCCACGTGGCGCCAAATCATCGTATAACGCGGTGCAGGGGCGCACTTTACTGCTAAGGGTGTTAGATCGAGAAATATAATCTGACCGATGTTAGATCGGTAATATTACCGGTCACCGGTGATATATCGGGAAAATCGTCATGGAAACCCATTGTTTTATGAATATTAAAAAAATATTTTTTTAAATTAAAATATTGAACCGAAACAGTAATAAATGGTTCTCGCTTTGTCTCATAAAATAGGTCTATCATTAACCTTTTTAGTTAATCTTTTTAATCTTTAACTAGTTATTATTTAACTTTTATTATTAGTAAAATATATAAAAATATATTTTAAATGCCTTCAATCAAATAATTATATATATATATATATATATATATATATATATTATAAAATTTAATTTTCTAAAATATTTAAAATAATCTGTTCAGAATTTTAAAAGGTCAACAAGAGACATTTTTCACGAGATGAAAGAATTAAATATTTTAGTTTCTAAAAGATAAAATTTATTTAGACAGTCATAAGACCATGAGTTAAATTAATGTTATTTTTTTTAAAAAAAAAATTAATGTTATTTTGAATATTCAAAAAAATTTAATGTTGTTTTGATTATTTTAGTTTACTTGAATATTCAAATAATTTTTAATTTTATTTTGTAAAACTGTCTTTATGTTTTTAAATTTTGAAAATATTTTTTTTAAAAAAAGGAAAATATTTCGATACAACTCTCACTGGTCAGGTGGAAATTTGAAAAGGACATATCTAACACTAAGATAAAGACCAAACAAACGACCGACCAAAAAACGCACCGACCACTAAAATTTAGGGGCTCAAAACTGTTTGTCTCGTCTTCTCAATTCACCGAAAATTTTTAAAATGAAAAAATAAATTATTTAAGTGGAATGATTCATTCCTTGTGTTCAGCTTTTTGTAGGCTGAAGATCTTCCTAAATAAAAATTTGATCAATCATTTCGTCTTGGACCGTAGCCCATGCTCCTGCTTTTCATCAGACCTAATGTTGTGATTTCATTATACCATACGAATACGAAATATTATAATCATGCATACTTAATTAACCTATTAAATTATCATTTAATAACCTTTTCAAAGGAATACTTTTCATCAACGGTAACAACTTGTGCTCTGCATCTAACCCAAAACAGCTACTCAAATGTCGCAGAAAACGAAATATTACCTTGTAATATCAATTGTTTTTTAATGTTTTTTAACGCATTGGACCGGCAACAGCAGATAACACGAGAGGGAGTCAATCCGGTTTCCTATCCATCGTCGCACAGTGGCACGTTTATCCTCCGACATCTTCCGATGAAGATCATGGGTGTCCCTGAAATACCTCTCGAATGCACGAGGGAGGAATTGTGGGATCAAAAAGCATAGCATATTGATGGAGAAACACATTAGGTTTGCAGAAGCCAGCCACTTCCCGAACCATTCCCATGCAACATCCTACACAACTTCCAACGTCAGGCTTGAGATGCACGCCCAAATTAGCCTATATTTTCTATGCTTGAAACATAAAACAACAAAGTTGCCTATATTTTTGCAACAACTACAATCATTAATACATGATTTTATGTCAAAAAGATGTGATTTTAGAATATTGTGTTAGAAATTTAAGAGTGTTATCGTATTCCTAACATAAAATTTTATATTTCTTATCCTTTTAATGTAATTTCTTAAATTCGTATTTCTGACATAAAATTATGTATATGTTCGTGCTCATTTCGATAAATTTGTTCCATTCGGAAGTAAATGATGAAATTTTGGTTTAAAGAGTTACCTTGGATGGTGCATTCTTGGTCAGAGTTTTGTTGAGCCAAGCATCCTGCACCCAGTCAAGTAAAACAAAGATTCTTCTGCCGGTATACATCAATGGGACCAGTGCTCTAACCGGCGGCGAAAACAACGACAGCCCACTTATTACATTTTCCGTTAGTATTTGAAACGAAAGCAAGAACAAGTGGGGTGTCGCCGATTGAACGGCGTTATCGTCGGCCCTTGCAAACCCACCCAACACATAGGCCAACGGCAACAGAAGCCCTATGGTGGTTCCCAGAATCACATAAAGCTTGAACATTTTGCTTCCATTGAAGATCTCTTGCGACCCGTCGATTGATACTCGGCCGAGCGACGGGAAGGCGAAGCGCGAAAGGGCGATGAGGTGAGCGGAGATGAAAGCCGGGAAGACTAAATCGAGGAGCGGCCCATCACACCGATCACTACTAGTTGTTGCTGCTGCTGCAGGCGGTGGCGAAATTGTTGGTGGTCGGTTTTTTCGCCGGCCGGTGCTACGGTTCTATCTGGCTCGCTCCTTGGAGACACCAGACATTTGTGCTCTGTGTTTTGTTTGTTCAAAGTAAAAAGCAGACTGATGAAATTTACTAAATTATGAAATTTGTGAGAAACGGAGAAGATCTTGCAGTGGAACTACATTATGAAATTGTTGAAGAAGGGTGTATGTGGTTGTGGGTTTACACGTGGTGATATGACGTGCTATTTTTCTTACACGTGGACAGTTGTTACTTACGTGTCACTTACCCTGCTAAAAACAAAATTTTCTTCATGACTTATCTGTCGAGGGAACTTTGATGTATGTTTATTTTATAGTATAATTATGATATATTCATTTTTTTTTGGAAGTATCAATAATGTGGTGTCAAATATAGTTTAAACAATCATAAGTAAAACATAATATTGATCGATTAATAATAGTCTGATAAGTAAAAGTGTAAATAATTGAGGCAACGATATACATAAACGGATCATTCCAATGGCCCTGAGTACTAAACATAAAGGAGAAAAACTTGAAGAATATCTAAAACGGACAAATTAAAAAGCGATCTACTATTAACGGTAATCCATGGCATAGTTAGAAGAAGACCAATATAAATAAACCTACACTGGAAGTTCAAAAACATTGATAGTCATGATCCCTTTATCAGAAAAAGGGTCAAGATAAAACATCATTATTAAAATATATTAAACTATAATTGGAAACTAGTAAAAGTAGATAAAAATTAACATATACGAGGAACAACAACTAGTTAAGGTTGTTTGCGGCTAGTAAAGCTCAATCACTATAGTTTTTTTTCACCTCAGGCTTGTAATAGGGATGTGGTTGTCCTGCCTCCGATTAAGGTGTTTGATGAAGGGATCAAGGCTTGGCAGTTTTCGATGGTGGCTCAATTTCTGGGGTGGTTGCACCCTATTGCTGTTATTTTTAGGTCAGTTAAGCTATTTTGGGGTGAATTTGGGAAATTGGGGTTAAGTTGGCTGGGGAGAATCTGTTTGTTTTCTAATTTTCGAGTTTTAAAACTTGCGACTGAGTCATTTCTAATGGGTCATGGCACTTGCAAAATGAGCTGATTATACTCCGTAAATGGGAGCCAAATATGAAGACTCTAGATTTTAGCTTAGAGAAATTGCTTGTTTAGGTTCATCTGAGTAAAATTCCTTTGGAGCTTTTTACAGGTGTGGGGTTGAGTTACATTGCAAGTGTAGTAGGTACTCCGTTGTATATGGATAGATGTAGTAATCGACAAAAGCTTGCTTTTGCGAGGGTTTGTGTGAAAGTTTCTACAGATTTACAGGTTCCCAGATTTGTTAAGGTTTAATTGTGTGATGGTTCGTTTGCGTCGGTGGTTATGGATGTTCCTTGGCTTTCTCAGTGTTACTTCCATTGTAAGATGTTTGGTCATAATGACAAAGCCTATGAGCATTTAAAATTTGTACCACCATTGAAATGAATGCCTAAGGCGAGTAGTTCTTGGGTGGTGAATAAGGTGGAAGTTGGGGGGTCTAAGTCTCCTTTAGAGATGAAGGTGGGTCTTGAGAGTATGAGGGAGGATGTGAACGTGATTGACATTATCACTCATGTTCCTTCTATTCCCTGTGTTGATAAGATACCACCGATTGAGTATTGCTCTGCAATTTTGATGGTGGGGGTTGTGATGCTGAGAGTAGCAATGGAAAAGGGAGCTATGGAGGTTGTTGCTTGTATTAAGGTTTTTACGAGTGTTTTCTTAGTTGGGGATGGGTCCTCAAGTAATTAGTTTGATGGATTGGCTACGAGCATTGATGAGGAGTCGCGTAAAGTTCGTGAAGCAATTAAGGAAGTTGTTGCATTGGTTGATGGTTTAAAAAATGGTAAGAAAAATCTGAGAAAGGGTAAGAAGAATGGGTCGATTAGTATTAACCCTTATTCCTCATGATTTGTTATTTTTGGAATGTATGAGGGATAAACGACCCTCGTAAGCAATTGTGCATTGTTAATAGACTTAGAAAACTTGATGTGGATGTTGTTTGCTTGATTAAAACTCGGGTTAAAGTTGTGAATAAGCATGGTATTTGGGATAATTATTTTAATGGTTGGATTGGGTTTAGTAACTATGATTATGCGGTAAATGGGAGGATTTGGTTGCTTTGTAAGCCGCATTATGATGTTAGATTGGTGGAGGTGTTTGAGCACTGTATCACTTGTTCAGTTAAGTTGAGGGATAAGTGTTTCTTTTTTCAGGCGTCAATGGTTGTAATATGGATAGTGAGCATGTGCACATTTGGAATCATTTAGTTCGTCTAAAGGGTAGGTTAGGTGATAATCCTTGGATTATTGGTGGTGATTTTAACATTGCGTCCAAGAGTGATAAGAGCTCGACAGCTGTTGGTTCAACTTTGTTAAGGAATATGGAGGATTTTAATTAGTGTTTGGGTACTTTAGAGCCTGTTGATCATGCTTTTATTGGTCTGATTTTTACTTGGTCCAATCGTAAGAGGGACTCTTTTTTTGCACGTAAATTGGACAGGGTGATGGTTTCTCCTAGGTGGCTGGAATTATTTCCTTGTGCTGTGGTGGAATTCATGGCTAATTCCCATTTGGATCATTGTCTCGGAGTGGTGTGGCTGGAGAAGAGGTTTGTGTCTCCTCCTAAGCCGTTTAATTTTTTTAATTTCTGGACAAATGATGCATATTTCTTGAGGATTGTTATGGACAGTTGGCATGCTTCGATAAGGGTTGTTAATTCGATGTTTTTTCTGTAATCTTAAAAGTCTTAAATCTAGTCTTAGAGAGCTTAATTCTCGTTAGTATAGTGGTTTACCTGCTAAGGTTCAGGTTGTGTGCAGTAGATTGGAGTCGATCCAATTGGCGGTTTTGACTGGTAATGCTAGTGAGGATCTTCAGGTTGAGGAGCAAGCTATTTCGGTAGAGCTTGATCTCCTTGTGAATTCTGAGGAAAGTTTCTTTGGTCAAAAGTCTCGGACTTTATGGGTGCATGAGGGGGATCATAACTCCAAGTTTTTTCATTCTATGGTTCAGGTTCAGTAGAATAAATAGTGTATTAAAGTTCTTCTAGATCAGGGTCAGGTCTTGGATAATCATAACTTGATTTCGGCGGAAGTTTTTTTTTGAAAAACACTTGGGGAGGGCTAACCTTGGTGTGGTTGGTAGTTCGGTTGATTGGCTTAGGGACATTTTGGGTTGTTCGGTGGCTGATGAGGCTGTGAATGAGTTGATTCGACCAATGATTAGAGAAAAAGTTACGAGGTCTATGTTTGAACAGTATTCAGATAAAGCTCATGGCTCTGATGGCTACATTATGGGGGATTTTTCAAAGCTGTTTGGACAGTTGTTGGGGATGATGTTATTCGGGCGGTTCTCTATTTCTTTGAACATTCAGAGCTCTTGCTAGCTTTTAATGTCACTACAGTGGTGATGGTTCTGAAGGTTCCTAATTCTTGTCATATGCGTGATTTTCGGCCTATTTCTTGTTGTAATGTAATATATAAATATGTTACTCGCATTATTGTTAATAGGACGAAGGGTGTTCTTCCGAGTTTAGTTTCTTTGAGTCATAGTGCTTTTATTCCTAGTAGAAGCATTGTGGATAACACTTTGATGGCCCAGGAGCTTGTGAAGGGGTATAGTCGTGCTTTGCTCTTTCCCAGGTGTGTTATTAAAGTTGACTTGCAGAAGGCTTTCGACTCTTTAGATTGGAACTCGATTTTGTTGGTTTTGGAGGTTATGGGTTTTCATGAGGTGATGATCGGTTGGATTCGGTGTTATGTTACTTCTGTGTGGTTTTATATTATGATTAATAGTGGCTTCTCAGGGGTTTTTTTAGGGTGCTCGTGGGATACGATAGGGGGACTCCCCTTTCCCATTATCTTTTTGTGTTGGCTATGAATGTGTTATCCAAGATCCTTGATAGGAATGCTGCTTTATGAGTGATTTGGTATCATCTGAAATGTCGTAAGATTTACCTTACCAATCTTTGTTTTGTTGTCGATCTCCTTGTTTTCACTAGGGACCAAGGTTTTATTATGGGGATTTGAGGGGTTTTGGAGCATTTTTATAGTTTGTCGAGGTTGCTACTGAAATCTGGGAAGACTGAGATCTTTTCGTCAGGTATGGATAGTGTTGAGTTGGTAGCGGTTTGTGATGAGGTTGGTATTATTGCAGGTACATTGTTTGTGCATTATCTTGGGGTCCCCTTATCCCTATGAAGCTTTCGGTGAGAGATTGTGCCCCACTTATTGGGAAAATTGAGCAGCGTCTTCAGAGTTGGAATGCTAAACATCTCTCTTATGGTGGCAGATTACAACTGATTCAGTCTGTAATTTTTGGTGTTCAGAGTTTTTGGTGTAAGCAGTTGGTTTTGCCGGGTGTTGTGCTTGACAGGATCAATCAGCTTTGTGCTCAATTCTTTTGGAAATGGGAGGATAAGTCGATTAGAGGGGCTCGTGTTAGATTGGCTAAGATTTGTTGTCCTAAAAAGGAGGGTGGTTTAGGTTTGAAGGACATCTGGAGTCAGAGTCGGGCTTGCCTTTTTTATTTGATTAGAGGCTTTTGATCAATAAGGGTTCTATTTGGATTGCCTAGGTTGATCGATACATCCTAAAGGGCGTCTCCTTCTGGAAAGTGGAGAGCTCTTCTAGGGGCGGTTGGGTCTGGCATAGGCTTTTTTAGCTCAGGTCAACTGGTGTCGTGGTTGGGGATCTCTTGGATGAATTGAAGAGTTCTGTTTCAACTACTTGGAACTCTGTTCGTATTTAGGGGATAGAGTTGGGTGGGAGAAGTTGATTTGGCATTCGGGGTATATCCTAAAATTCTCTGTTATTGCTTGGATGGCGGTGTTAGATAGACTTCCACCAAGAGCCGTCTCATATCTTTTGGTTTGGCTATGGAAAGTTTTTGTCTTGTGTTTGTCTGAATCTGAAACTCGTGACCATTTATTCTTTAAGTGCTCTTATTCTAGATAGGTTTGGGTTAGGGTGTTAGAGGCTTGTGGTATTTTTCGACCGATCATGTCTTGGTCTCGGGAGCTTGAATGAGCATGTCATAACGTTAAGGTTAAGTCGCTTTCCTCTTTTATTTTTAGGCTTGGAATTGTTGTGTAGCTCTGTTGTGGAAGGAAAGAAATTTTAGAATCTTCAGGAGTCTTTTTACCGCCGAGGCTCAATTGTTAGATCGTCTTAAGGACTTAGTCCAATTGAGGGTGGATGGAATGGGTTGCACGAGGGTGGGGTCGCTTAGCCGGTTTTGTTGTAGGAATTGGGGGATGAGTATGGTTAGTGGTGATTAAGTTGTTATTGTATTCTTGTCCAGTTTTGGTTCTTTGGATATAATACAAGCATTTATTCAAAAAGAAAAAGAGGAACTACAGGATAAGGAGACGGTCGTGTAAGGCTACTACCGCTACTTGAGAGGGAGGTTTTCTAAATTTGAATAGTTTCAGAGTTTTGTTATTCGATTAGTCAATTTTACTCTAATTGAAATGTACATGTTATTTTCAGGTCCTTTTAGGAAATGGAATTAGTAATTGAATTGATTAATTCTATTTCAATAAAAGAGAAATCTTTCAGAGTTTACAAAGACCTCATACTCGGAGACATTTCTAATTTAGTCACCAATAATCTTCTTACCATTGGTCGATTCAAGATCTTAGCTATACTAACTCAAGGTAAATTAAATTTCAATTTAAGTGAGAAGGCTTCCATTCTTCAAGTGATTATAAAATAATCATTAAATTTTATCAAATTTTTACAAAGTGATTATTGAATTTATAAGACTGATATAAAGTTTATCACAAAATATAGGGATAATTTTATAACAGTTTTAAAAGTTTAATAATTATTTTATAATTTATAAAATTTAATGACTAAAAAGATCATTTTAACATAGTTTAGTTACCATTTGTATACTTTACCCATTGTTTATCTACTCAAGAAATTTACCTTGAGAGTTGTACCTTTTCTGGAAAAGAAAAAGAAAAACGTAATTCTGAACCTTCCTTCCTTCCGTGGTAAATTTCCAAACCCATAACACCTAACTGAAAAATCTCTACGTATTTCTTCCGTTTCTATTAAGAAGAAAACATTTTTATTTTAATTCCGGCGAAGCTGCGATAGGGGAAAAATTACTCCTCTATGTCTCTTGTATGCTGGATTCTGATTTTAAACCTTTGGATCTTAAAAGCGTCATCGTTTCAACCGGGATCGCGGGCCCTACTTCGTGCGGTTGCTGATAACAACGGTGGCGTTGGTGATCTGAAGGACTACGCCGCTGAACTGAATGCCACGAATTTCGATGCAGTTCTCAAGGACACTCCTGCCACTTATGCTATAGTCGAATTCTTCGCTCATTGGTTTGCACTCTTTTTTAATTTTTCTTAAGCAATTCTTTTTGAAAAAAAATGAACAGAAAACATTAGTCTTTTATTCTGATCTAGTTATCGTTACGACAATCGGAGTTTTTATTTGAGTTGATAAATAACGATAATAACTTTTTTAAGTGTATGGCCATCCAAATTTTTGAAAAAAGTTGAGGAAGATTGAACACTCCTTTGTTGACATTTATCACTTCTGAAACTATACGTCTATACCTAATGGAAAGATATTCATGATAGATCCAAAAATTGGTCTTTCGAGCTAGGGCAATTTTTCCTAGCTTAGCATTTTTTAGTGTGACATTTTCTTTTCTTCCAAATGGGGCCCTCCGGGCTGTAGCATGCTGTGAAATTTGTATGGAATAATTATTTTTGTGCTTTGCCTTACAAGTTGAGATACAAAGATGTCTTCTTTTGGATGGTTGACCACAATGGCAATGGCTAACTAATGTTTAGAGTAACACATGACATTATTTATTTCCTTTAGAGTGTGGATAGAACATAAAACAGTTACATAAGTGACGGTTGATGTGTGCAACTGCATGTACTTCTGGTCAAAGCCCATTTGCTTGCTGATACAAGTGTTCCTTTTAATACAAAGATTCCTAGACAATAAGTTTGCTTTCTTTTACGATATAGAAAGCGAAAATGTAGTACTACAATATCCGTGATAATATGTGGTTAGGCATATGATGTAATGCATCTGTATGTCTCAAGTCTTTCGAGTTGCCATGTCAAACCCCTTTGTTCTTCATGGTTACTTTTACCAGACTCTTGAATTTCATTAGTTGGATTGTTGGGAAAGGGTTATCGAACCAATTATCAGACAAAGTTGTTCACATTTCACAGCCGGATTGTTGTATTGTATTGATTTACTGATCAACATATCCAGGTACCATCAAAATAATTTTTTTTTGATAGGAATGTAGGCCTCGTTAAAAACCCCCTTCATGATTAATGGAACACTAAGTGCTTCTCAATCAGCGGAAGGAGGAAAAGAGTGCCTTAGGATTCATTAAAAACCACAATATACATAATGTTTAACAACAACACATAAACACTCCCTTTACATAATCCAACCCAAAGACTACAAAAGCAAATCACAAATGTAAAACTAGCCAATACCACCTTTGGCTAAACTATCAGCCTCAACATTGGCTAACCATCAAAATAATTTGGTTCATAGTAGTTGCCTGGACTTGTTTGCTTGATATTGCATAACTTATAATTGCATAACTTATAACTACATAACTTATAATTGCATAACTTATAACTGCATAACTTATAATTGCATAACTTATAACTGCCTAACTTATAATTGCATAACTTATAACTGCATAACTTATAATTGCATAACTTATAATTGCATAACTTATAACTGCATAACTTATAATTGCATAACTTATAACTGCATAACTTATAACTGCATAACTTATAATTGCATAAGGTTTTCCCTTTTCATAAGAATGGCACCTTTCTACGCATGGGTGTGTGCAAGCAATGCACTTTCTTCTTTATCCCTATAAAAGTACATGCTTTCTTGGTTAAGTGTTTGTGGCTAGTAGTTGCATTCCATGCTCCAAGCCAGTAATGATGTTGTATGACATTTTATTACTTTTCAGGTGCCCTGCTTGCAGAAATTACAAGGTATCAGATGGTCTATTTTTGTGCTTAGAATTTTTCATATCTTCACGCTCTTATATTTTTGCTGCTTTACATATTAATTTTCCAGCCCCATTACGAAAAAGTTGCAAGGCTTTTCAATGGACACAATGCTGTGCATCCTGGAATTGTATTGATGACTAGAGTAGACTGTGCGTTAAAGGTATTTGTTGTCTTCTGAAAACTTGCAAAGTGCAGCCTCATGGAAATACTGCTATAAAATACTTGTTTCTTCAATAACATATATTTGCCTTACTACCATAATGCTGGGATTTAAGATGAAGTTGAAATATTTCTGAACGTGTGGAATTTTGAAAATAAAGTTTGATGTTTTGTGTTTAATATCTAGAACAAACACTTTGAATTTGTTCCTTCGGTGGTTTTGTTTAGTTATTGCTCCATTCAAGCATTTATTAACACTGCTCAACATTAAAAGCATCTGTTAAAATTCTTCTTTACATACTTGAGAATGGACATCAAAATTCACTTGTCTCTGCTTAAGTGATGTTCGATGGTTTTTCCCTATCTTAAAAATAAAGCTGAACTATATGTAAGTTGAGCACAGGACCTCATAAATGAAAGGTGTAAAGAGGAGAAAAGGTAAAATAGGAAAGAAAAAAAATATCTCCATACTCCAAAGTGCTTGGGAGGCTCTATTAGTTTGAGTCCCTGATTTAGTTTTATCACATAAGTGATCACTAACCTTGTCCACAGGACAACTAGAAACTTTAAATTGGTGCGAACCAAAGGTTCACTGGAAAGAGTGGATTTTGTCGAATGGTCCTCCAAATTTTCAAGAAATGAGAACTATTAGAATCCAAGACTTATATTTAAAATGATTGTAATTGTTATTTGTTAGATAGATGCTGGGTATTATAATTAAAAACATAAATTTCTGTTTTATTTTGGTTGACAAGAAACACAGAATTAAAAAATCTGGAACAAGTGAAACTAACATCTGCTGGATCAGAAATCCTGGAAGTTAAAATTTACATGATTGAGAAAATAATTTCCTTATGATGTTGTTAATGGGATTGTAAAGGTTGTGATATTAGCATTTTTAATTTCTTCTATGGTTCGGGCCTTCTACAGTTTTGGAGTGAAGCTGTTAAAGTGGAAATTCAATAAAGTAACACTTTTAATATGATTAGTGAGCTATTTAGACTAGAATGTAGCCATCTAATGTGGATGTTCATGTTACTCCATGTATTTAGATTTACTACTTATTTGGCCTAGTTATGTTAGCCAACCTCTGTTAGAAGACTATGTTCCATTTGGAGTACTTTTTTGACTATTTTGGTTCTAAAAATGTGTCTTGTTAATTTTACTTTGGTTCTTTGTCTTTGTTTGGCAGCACAGGTAAATACCAAACTTTGTGATAAGTTTTCTGTGAGTCACTACCCTATGCTGTTTTGGGGTCCTCCTACAAAGTTTTTAGCTGGCTGGAGCTCTGATCAAGCAAAAAGTAAATTACGTGTAATCGATGATGCCCGGACCGCGGAATGCTTGCTTAAGTGGATCAATAAGCAAATAGGCAGGTATGAGGTAGCTTCATCCATTACTTATTTAATACACAACATCTTTATAATCCGAACCAGTTCTTTCTTTTACTTTATGGATTTGTAAAGGAAATTATGAGCGATTTACTGAAAGAGGCTATGGCTTTTTCATCAGATGCCGTTCTTTTGTTAATATACATTTAGGAATTTCCCAATCATTGTTTTGTAAAATCATGTTATTTCATAGTAATTTTATAATTGTTGACACCATGTGGAGGAAGACTTTTTGTTACTTAATTGAATATTGACCTAATTTTTAAGTTAATTTTTCATTTGGAATGCATCATATTGACATCACATATAGGATGATGCATTCTACAAATTCAATTGCAGCTTATACATATGATGTACATATAACCATGTTGCCGTATTATTACAAAATCCTTGAGAAAGACTATGATCGAATAGTTTAATGCTTTGCCAGAAATTTTATTGTATGCCAGCGAGTGTATGAGTAGGAAGTGCAGCAAGTCCAGTTCCTGCACCGTTCGGTTTTTTTAACCCTACCTTGACTCAATTCTGCACCTGATTCTTAAAAAGTTAAGAATTATAGTTTATGGGGAAAATACAAAATGAAAGTTGAACCTTTATACAGTATGTAAATCATTGTGTTAGTTTTAGAAAACTGGACTAGGGTACTGAATTGGAACTTTAGACATTTTGAAGTAGTCACGGGAACCATGAGCATGGGGGAGGTTTTGTGGTATATTGAATCCTGTTTCTGTTCTGACATTGTAGTTGTAAAAAAATGGGTGTTTGATTGATATTGTACTTCTAAGTTAGTGCCAAATGTTTGCACTTTCTATGAAGTTTTGACCTTCAGCTTCTCATTTGTTTACTGTTTATACTCCCTTTCAGTTCATATGGCTTGGATGATGAAAATTTTGAAAACGAGCATCTTTCATCAAATATATCGGATCCTGGACAGGTTTCTTTGCGAATTTCCAATTTGATATTTTGAATAATGTATGTTTGAGATTTTGTCGATATGCTTAGGATTCTATCTTCATTGTTTTGATAAAATTTTGAAAGATTGCTCGAGCTGTGTACGATGTGGAGGAGGCAACTGCAACTGCCTTTGACATCATTTTAGAACATAAAGTTGGAATTTCACTATCTTGTGTAAATTTCCCTCTATTTCTCTCTTGTTTGCATGCATATATGGTGGGAAATTTTATTTGTTGTCGTACTAAGTTGCTGGAGATGACGTCCTGCAGATGATTAAATCAGGAACTCGAGCTTCACTAATAAAATTCCTTCAGCTTATAGTGGCTCATCATCCTTCGAGGAGGTAAGTTCCAACCTTTCAAAGTATGTATCTTGGCTTGGCTTTATGTTACTAGAATGCTTGTAACTTAATAACCCCGCTGACAAAAAGGAGATACTGCGGAAAGAAAAGAAAAATAACTCTTAAGATACGTTTGGTTCACGGAATGTAATATTACCTTTGGGAATAAGATTACCGGAATGTAACATTACTCTAGGGGTGTGTTTGGTTAGGGGAATGTGAGATTCCCATGGGAATGGAATCCACATTTCCCCGTTTGGTTGGCCGGGAATATCATTCCCGGTAATCTTACATTACCAATAGTGGATTTTTTGGGGTATATTACCGGGAATGTCATTACCTCCCTTTCCTTAGATATTGTTGAATTACCGGCGTTTTGGACTAAAATGCCTTTAAATTTTTTTTCTTTCAAAAATATCCTTATTCTGTCATTGAATAATAAAAATTCTACGCAGGTTAAATTACAAATTTATCGTTAAACTATTTTAGATTTACAAAAAAAAGTCTATAATTAAAATTTTATATGAAGTTCAAGGGTTAAATTAAAATTTTACCCTTTCATTAAACCTTTTTATATTTTCAATTTTGTAAAAAAATTATATAAATTTTATGAATTTATTTTTTTTTAAAGAAAATATATAAATATTTTTCAACTTGTTAAAAAAATAAATATATAATAAGGACAATTTGATCAAATATACATTTCAATAATCTTTTATTTTTTAACCAAACACGGTAATCTTACACTCCTGTTAAACCAACCAAACATAAAATACAACATTCCCAGTAATCCTATTTCCTGGTAATCTTTTATTCCCACTGGTAATCTTATATTCCGTGAACCAAACGCACCCTAGGGGTGCATTTGGTTGGGGGAATGTGAGATTCCCATGGGAATGGAATCCACATTTCCCCGTTTGGTTTGCTGGGAATGTCATTCCCTGTAATCTTACATTACCAATAGTGTATTTTTTGGGTTTTATTACCGGGAATGCCATTACCTCCCTTTTCTTAGGTATTGTTGGATTACCGGTGTTTTGGACTAAAATGCCCTTAAAATGTTTTTCTTTCTAAAATATTCTTATTCTGTCATTGAATAATAGAAATTCTACGAAGGTTAAATTACAAATTTATCCTTAAACTATTTTAGATTTATAAAAAAAAATCTATAATTAAAATTTTATATGAAGTTCAGGGGTTAAAATAAAATTTTACCCTTTCATTAAACTTTTTTTTATTTTCAATTTTGTAAAAAAAATATATAAATATTATGAATTTAATTTTTTTAAAGAAAATATATAAATATTTTTCAACTTGTTAAAAAATAAATATATAATAAGGACAATTTGGTCAAATATACATTCCAATAATCTTTTATTCCTTTAACCAAATACGGTAATCTTACATTCCTGCTAAACCAACCAAACACAAAATACAACATTCCCAGTAATTCTATTCCCTGGTAATCTTTTATTCCCACTGGTAATCTTACATTCCGTAAACCAAACGCACCTTAGGAATATTGTATTACCATGTTTGGTTTGCTTAGCAGGAATGTAAGATTACAGTGTTTGGTTGGAAGAATATAAGATTACTTGGATTCATATTTTAAGAAGTTATCCTTGTGATATATAATTTTTTAACAAATAAAATTTAATATTAAAATTATAAATATTTGAATGAAAATTTATAAAAATATTTTAATTATTACACTATATAAGTTTAAACATATAATTAATATAATTAGTATACCAACTTATAATTTTAAATAATTTTCATAAGTATCATATTTATTTATATAAAATATGATATAACATGAAAAATAATATTGTGATCTCGAGTAGACAAATATATTATTTTTTTAATGTATAAGATCTATTTTTTAATAACTCAAAATTAAATATTATTTTAAATATTTACATTTTTACGATAATAATATTTTCATCTCATAAAATATAGAATAATTAATATATTAAATATTAAAAATATAAAATAATTTTAACTACTCAAATTTATTAATTTTTTATTAAATTAAACTCTTTGTATTATTATTATTAAATTTATAATTTAGAGTAAAGCACGAAGAATAAGAATTAAGGATCCATATGAAAAAAAAATTATTATTTCAAGGGTATTTCTATCCAAAATTGTGGGAATTGCTCATTGCCTAAGAATTTAGAGGTAATGACATTCTCACCATTTTAACCTAAAAATGCTACTATTGGTAATAAGTTATTAAATGGTAATGATCTTTTCCGTGAACCAAACATGGGAATACAATTCCAGAAAAGATCATTTCCCTTGGTAATGATCTTTTCCGCGAACCAAACGCCCCTTTAATGGCTACTGATATGACCTTGAATGCAAAGAGGGGCATATGATAGCTCTTAATTGCTAAAACAATATGTCATGATACCATTTTCATCAAACGTGTCCTGAAAAGGAGCATATGATTGCTTTATCAGTTGAGTTTTAAAACAATTGCCCAAAAGCTATGCAACTAGGAATAATTTATTTTCCAAGTAAAAGATCACGAGTGATATGTAAGAAGAACCATGCCATTTCTAGGAAGCACGGGGAAGGTGGTATTGGAAATAATTGACGTGAGACAATGTAGCTCATTATTAAACAACTACACCAAGAGAATGTACTAGATGATTCAATAACTCAGTTTAAATCAGCTTTGGTCAAGGGGAAGTTTCCAGCAACTTCGAAATTGATTAATGATACCCAATACATGAGGAAAAACAATTCTATCTCTCTCATCAAAGTGATATCAAAGTGGCAGAAAGCCAAATTAAGAAAAAGCATAATGTAGAGAGAAGAAAATAAGTTGTGAAAGTGAATAACTGAAGCACATGCAGAAGAGTGAAATTATCAAACAAAAATCAATTCCTTGTCAGCAAGCTGAAAGTAATTCTTGAATTTGACATCAACTTCTCCTTGGCTTTGTACTAGGTGTCGGAAGGGAAGCGCAGAAATACTTGTCAATTTTGATGACTTGTGCCCATTTGATATTTGGTCATCAACCAAGTATGATGTTGACACCACGAACATGATAGGGGTTCTACGCAACTTCCATATTTGTGGAAAGGATGTTCCCCGTGGATATTGGGTAGGTACTAAAAGGCAATTTGGCCTTTTCTTTTCTTTCTATTTGTATATTTGAAGCTATCAATATATTAGGAAGCATCATCCAGGTTTTTAATTTTCTTTCTTTGCATATATTTGAAGTTTGATCGAACTGGAATGCTCTAATGCTACAATTGATGATTGTTAGTTACCTATAAGTAGTTACAACACCCGTTTTATGCGATCCATTGCCTACACACACACACACACGAATAAGACAAATCATGAGCTGTTTTACAGCTGTGAGATTGTCAAATTGATAGAACCCTATAAATATTTATTCGTTTTATTTTCTACAAGATAAAACATATTCTTTTGAAATTTTCACATCGATTTTCTTTTAATGGTTTCTTTATGTCACATTTGGATGTTCTTTTTTGCAGATGTTTTGTCGAGGCAGCAGGAATGATACCCGGGGCTTTAGGTAATGATTTAAACACAATTTTTAGCTCATGCAATTTTTGAAAGAACTCTTTAAACTTCTCCAATCTGAAGCCTTTCACCCTCCTTAGGCACTGCTTTTGGTTTCAAATTATTTCCCTTCTCTATGAATTCACATAGTAGTAGCACCCTTTCCATAGGGTCTGGACATGAGGGATGGCTGGTGTTGCAAGTAGGATTTTTACAGATTTGAATGTAATTATTACTGCTTATGTACTTAAATTCATGTTTACATTGTGACATATTGTGTTGAATATGTTATGCTGATGCATTAGAAGGAGGGCTAGTTGCAATTAATAATATTACACTGGTTAGTGTTAATTTTGTATTTTAACCTTAGAACAAAAACAATAAATTAAGCCATTTTGCAATGTATGATGTAAAAGAATGAGGTTTTTGCCATAAAACATGTTATACTCTAATACTCTATCTGACTAGTCTTCTTCCATAGTTATTTGTTCCTATAATTCTTTTTTCAACAATTCTCAGCCTTGCATATGATGTCAATCATAATAGAGTTTCCTTCAGCTGTAATCGATTTTATAGCTGTCAATAATCGTACATACTTTGTATGCAGTTGTGGCTTGTGGGTTTTAATGCATTCACTCTCTGTGAGGATTGTGGATGGAGAGAGCCAATCTGCATTTTCATCTATATGTGATTTTATTCACAACTTTTTTATTTGCGAGGAGTGCCGTCAACATTTTTACGAGATGTGTTCAAGGTAAATTTGATTCCAAAGCAAGTTATTTTCTAAAATATGCAAGTTAATTCCATCTTACAGAAAAAGTTCAATTTGCAGTGTTAAAAGTCCTTTCAAAACAGCTCGTGACTTTGCCCTTTGGTTGTGGAGCGCACATAATCAAGTCAATGAGAGGTTAATGAAGGAAGAGGCATCTCTAAAAACTGGAGACCCTAAATTCCCAAAGATTATTTGGCCTCCAAAACAGCTTTGTCCTTCGTGTCAACATTCCCAAGGTCCCAAAGATAAAGGAAGCAGTCTGATAGAGTGGAACCAGGATGAGGTGTTCAAGTTCTTAATAAGTTATTATGGAAATACGCTGGTATCTTTCTACAAAGAAAATGGTCTTCGAGCTGAAGATGAAACCGGCGTTATTCTGGATGATTCAACTAGCGCAATTGTGGTTCCGGTTGGGGCTGCATTGGCTATTGCTCTTGCCAGCTGTGCATTCGGAGCTCTCGCTTGCTACTGGCGTTCTCGGCAGAAGAATCGAAAGTATTTCCATCAACTACACTCTTTAAAGAACATATGATAGTTCTGAGGATGAGTTGTTTCAAATAGGATTATAAGCATTTGAGTGGAAAGAGGAGAAACTGGGTGAAAGGGGTTGTGGGAGAGAGAAATTTTCATATTTAAGATGCAACTTTCTCATCTGATTTCCTTCCACCGCTTTTCAGGCCGAGGAGAAGCTGGAGTTAAGATTACTAGAACACACAATCCTTAAAAGATGACCCTGTCGAAATATGGATGACCTCAAGGTCCAAGCGGAAATCGAGATTCCGACACACATGAGGTCCGATTCATTTACCAGTTTTCCATCAAGACCATCCTGAATTTTGGGTTCCTAGAGATTTAACACCCCTAATTTTATCTGTTTTCTTAATGTCCCATTCAAATTTGACATGCTGCATGAACACTTTAGAATGAGTTTTGATACGAGTGTCGGTCCAGTTCCTCCTCTCCACTTGATTTTGTTCTTCATATGATTAAACATTGAAGAACTGTGGTATAATTTGAATGTGAGAATACCGTGGACCTGTTTTAATAGTTATTTAAGAAAACATATTTTCATTATTGCTTTGGCATTCAGCAAGTATTATATCCTTCCCATCATTTTGCTGGGGACAATTTTATAGGTTGCAGTTGAAAGCTTTCGGCATTCATAGTTTCTATATCATGTATTGATTTTCGTATCTCTTTAGGTCTAATTTTGCTTTTAGTCCCTGTACTCATATATTCAAAATTCATTCCATCTACTTTTAGTTCTAGGAACTTAAGACAATTTTCAAAATAAGTTTTTTTAACTAATACAAGTAGTTGGTTGTACCAAATAAATAAAGAGGGATCATGATAAAATCACATTTTTTTTTCATCTAAAAAACAACCTATAAAAACTAAAATAGACTAGTTACATTAACTGACCATTTTCTGTAGAGTTAATTGTATTAAATGTCCTTAAACTATGACCCTCATTCTAAATAGGTTCTCAAAATCTTTGAACATTCTAATTCATTCTTAAACTATGACTCTCATTCTAAATTGATCCTTAAACTTTTGAGCATTTCAATTCCAACCCTAAACTATGATCCTCAATCCTCATTCTAGAATAGTCACCGACTTCTTGAATGTCTTAATTTCAACCCCAAACTTGTAAGTGATTTGAGGGATGATGTTGGAATGTTCAAAGGTTTGAGGATTAATTTAAAATGAGGATCATCGTTTGGTGATGAATTTAGAATGATCAAATGTTTAGGTACCAATTTAGATTGAGAGTCATAGTTTAGGGATGGAATTAGAATGTTCAAAAGTTTGAGGACTAATTTAGAATGAGAACCATAGTTTGAGAACGTACAATGCAATTAACTCTTTTCTTTATGATCATCAAAGAACACAAACTAATGAAAATTGGATCATACAAGGAAAGAAAAAAAACTTATACTAATAATTCAGTGAAAATAGAAGTTTCGAATGAATCATGAAAAATTGAAGATACAAATAAATATTACAGTTATTAGTAAGTGATTATATTAATTTTCACGAAAATATATATAACCACGATGATATATTAACAACTTATTTTGGATTCTAAATTTGTATTTAAGCCTCTACTTTTCTCCAAAACAATGTCATTTTAAAGATAAAAATATATTCATTTGTATTGCTGCTTTCTTTTATACATTGTACGATGGTTCATATACACAAGTACATTCTTTGTATCTCTTTCCCTCAATGTACATTTTCTTCAGATATATACAATTGGGATCATCCCCAGAGTTGGTCTGTACAGTAATAAAAATCAATATTCATATATCTACCAATTTCTTGTAATGGTTTTTACTGCATCTGTTGGCATTCAAGGAATGTTGACTATGTGAGGCTGAGTTTGCATGACCGACTGCTCAATTTCTTCATCTGATTGGGTAAACAATGGATTTGGAGACTCCTAATGGTTAACCAGAAAAACCACTCAGCAAAATTTGTTTTCGAACTAATAGCCAATAGGTGATAGGAATTATGAGTCGATTTAAAGAGAAACTCTCACCCGCTGTTGCCCGCGGTGACGGAGGGCAGTCGTTGCTTTCATCACGACATAGATTGGCAGGATAATCCCAACAGTTGGAAGTAATAACAGCTGTACAATGTAAGACGGTTTTGGTTTATATAGTCCGGAAGTCGATATGTTCAAAAGAAAAGAAGAAAACTTACCATGAACAACAGGAAAGTGTAGTCATTGGTTCCCGTAAGTATGACAGGCAGAGTATGCCGTAAAACCAAAAGAAGCATGAACTGCAGATGAAAAGAATAAGAAATCAGTCGGCAATTAGAGCAATCAATAAATTAGCACTTGAGTGTTACACAAGAGCTTTAAAGTAGACGTTTTACATATTGATGTCCCACAATTTTCAGCATAAATTTAGAACTTAAAAGTTCAGCTGCCATTGGAAGAGTCATAACTGCTTTTAATAATGTAGTTAGCTATGTCTGTCAAAAGGAAGCATACTTAGCATGGTGCGACTATATTCCTCTGCATTACACTAGTTTTTAGGACAGTGAACTTGATTTAGAGAGTGAAAGTTACCACTATTGCAACTGTTCGGTAACATATTGAGCTTCTTGTAGTCGAAACTGAATACTCATCATAATGATGATCACTTGATACTACTGCTATAAAGCGAGAATTGTTTAACTCCCTCCTAGAGATCTCCCAGTTTGCCCTGGTAAAAAGCATAAAACTTAAATGAAGCTTTATTAACCAGATAAGAGATCGCTAAAACTTTAGCATACACGCGTTACCTCAAATTCATTGGAAAACGGCCGATTTGGAACAAAGGAGGTGGTGCAGTATAGCCCGGCTTGAATTGCTGAAATGCAGAAGATCTATGATCAGATAAGTTAAGTATAACATGTACGAGATAAACTATACAACAAACAAAAACTGTATAATACTAGAAGAAAATGAAACTGAAAAAGAACAAAAGAGTTTTAGTTAGAACATGGCACATTGAAATGTAAAATAAATAACCTGATGGCATATTTCACAGGTAGTGTTGCCCTTCTCGTTGCACCATCTTTGCACACATCTTCGATGAGCATACTGTAACAAAATAGAGGCGTTGCAAAATTAGCTCCAAACAGAAGTTTACAGGATACATGAATATTTTGTCGCATCGAAACGGATTTTAGAAGTAAAAAGATAATAATAGTTGATTGAGATATGCCTTTTAAGGCCTATAAAAGATGTTCACTACATGAATCACCAAAATTTGGAAACAAAACATGCATGGTGAAAGGATTCGGGGGGTTATCTTTCATAAATAGAACATGAAACATATGCATAAAAAAACAGGTTGAAGAAACTTAAAACTCAAATTTAATATTTTTGAACTGAAACAGCCACTCAAAATAAGCCTGAACCTAACCTCCAAGCTGCCACAGCAAGAACAAGGGGTCTCCATGTTAGCATCTTCATCCTCATCTTGGCATATCCTGCATTCCACAATTTTCCTTGGGGACAACAAATCCACCTTCGGAGAAGAATCGTATACTTTCTTGTCATTGACTGCTAATGTAGTGGTCTGCAAAGAGCGGTTTCGGCTTTCGATTGCAGCTTCCAGTGTGGATTCCGTCAACAACCGATCCACTAGCAATACAAAATGATCCCCCATATTCGGATATACTAGAACTCAACAATCAGACCAAAGCCAGAAACCAATTGATCTACTTCTCTTGTTTACTTTTTCTCCCGTTTAGAAAAGCTGCAATTGATCAGAAACAACCTAATAAGCTTTTAAATTAGGTGTTGACAAATACATTTAACTTTTCAACTGAAATTAGGAACTGGGGACCCCTACAAATTCATGTAATAAGGATGGATAAAGCCATCTCATAGAGCTGACACCAATTTGGCTCTAACCATCAAACCAAAAGGAAACATCTGAAGGAAAATTGAACAGAAATGAATGAAACAGCTTCAAAAGCTCAGTAGATTGGAGAAAATAAAGATATATATATTTTCAACAACGAACACACTTAATTACACAACTGCATACAAAAAAGAAGACCCGAAAAAAAAAACAAATGAAAAAACAAATGAATTGGTATAAACCCATTGAAGAAAGTACTTCCAAAACTTTATAAAGTAAAACATAAAGGAAAAAGGGGAAATACACAGAAAAGTAAAAGAGGAATGAAAGAAAACAAAAGCATCTCCAGATGCCAACAAAAAAAAACGAGTGCTTTACCCAATCCAGAGCAAAAGTATAAAATCATAGCACGAAAAGGGTTATAACAGAAAGGGTATAAGAAAAAAAAAAGAAACTTACAAGAAAGGGATCGTTTTTCTTGAAGCAAAGGAACCTTCTTTCCTTTATCATTTGTTGTTTTAGTGCAAAATTAAAGCTTATGGTTTTGAGGAGAAGCAAGAGATTGAGTGCAAAACTTGTAGCAGCTTCAAATTGTTGCCCCCTCTTTGGTATCGTAGGTTTGAATCTTGGGGGAGTTTGTTTCTGGTGTTTAAAGGTCGACGCAAATTCGATGGAAGTGAAAGGGAAGATTGATGAGCGTCAGCCCGCGCTTTCAATTTACATAAAACGGTTGTATGGTTAAAACTATTCTCTCCTCTTTATTAAGCAGTTTTGGCTAATTATTGATTCGTGACCAGATTCCTTTGGATACTTTCCTTTCAAGCAAAAGCAAATATTATTGATGTGAAGTGTCACTATAAAGAGAAGTTTAGAAGACGATGATAATTATAATAGAGGTTGTGATATTACTCAATTTTAGATGATATGTTGTTTATATTATTAATTCTTTAATTATTTTAATTTTATTATTAAATATAAATATAAATTTTAACTATATTATTAAATCATTAAAATTTAAATTGTGTGATGACACGGACAAAATAATATTGTATTAATACGATTATTAATGTCCAAAACAATAATCTTATGGTATATTGATTTTATCAATAATCTTTTAAATAATTCATTTTACATTGCACTTTTTTTATCATCGCTAATAATGAATCATCGTCCGTTATCAATTGTCTCTTGCGACAATATTAGTATTAAAACATTCAAATTCACTTATTTTTCTTATCTTAGAATTGTTTTCTCATGAAACTCATTCAAAATCAATAAAACTAAAAAAAATTAAGAGTTTGTAGGCTTTCTCATATTTGAGGGAATTGAGGTGTTTATTCGGAAATTTGAACATTGAGAAGTATTATTTTAAGAATGAACAACATATCTTAAAACTAATCTCATCAAAAAATCATAAGAGAATATTAGAGTAGTAGTATATCAAAATTTTAGATGAATTTTCATCGATTTTGAATAAATTTCGTGGAAAATCAATTCTAAAAGAAGAAATATCAGTGAAATGTGAACGTTTTGGAATCGATATTACCGTGAAAAATAATCGATGACAAGCGAAGATTGACTACCAACAACGGCCGAAAAATTTTAGTGTTCAAATTGATATACCAATACTAAAAGTTTAATGTCTAAAATGATATCGTTTTGAGTATTAATAGTTGTGCCAAAAAATGTTATTTTCTCCACATCATCATAGTGACAAAAAGATTTAGTCATGTTATCGAGCCATTAAAATTTAACGACTCAGTAGTGTAATTGAAGTCAAAATCAAAGTTTAATATTATAATTGGAATAATTAAAAATTTAATAGTACAAATGATACACCATCTAATATAATATTCAACTATATATGTTGTACTTTATTCTTATAACAGAATAACAAAATAAGTGAAGTTAATGTGTTGGTATCTTATGCAAGAGAAAGCTAGAAAAAAAATCTTCAAACTCCCTAGTAGGAATGAACCTAGGCAGGGCGGGTGAGGCGGTATGCTCCCTGAAAATTTAAAATTACTATATATTTTAGATTTTTTTATATATTCTCTTGAAAATCTATTTTTGTCTCCTAGAATTTTATAAGATCAATTCGTCTCTTGAAATTTTATAAGTTCAAGTTCACCCCGTAACATAAAATATTGCATTCGTCCCTTCTCCCTAATCAACGTAGACCATCAATCACACAACCTTCATTGTTTATATATATATATATATATATTAAAAAAGGGAAATATCTCGAATTACAGTGGAGATTTACAATCAAAATCATGAATTAAACACATAATTAGGACATTTTCTTAAATTTATTGACACAAAATTAACAACTTAAGATCACATAAGGACCATACAAGAAAAGATTAAAAAACCTCACCAAAATTCGAACAATGATAGATACAAACATATATGATTGGATCAGGGAATGAACTGCAAATCAAGCTATTGAAAGTACCACCAACAAAACTGCAAATCGGAGTAAACAATATGGAAAAAAAACTATCCACGAATGCAAATCAAGTATTTAAATCCAATTCGAGAGTCTAAAATAAGGAAGATCAACAAGATAACAGATAAGCGTCATCTTGATCAATCATGTTGATGTCGAATCAACCCTTAAAAAGATAAATGAAAAACGACAGTCAAATGACTGAAAACGTAACAAAAGATCGAGAAAAACTTACTATAAATGTAGATGAAAATATGTCGTAAAGACATACTTATTGAAAATTGAAAACAAAAGAAAAATCAAGATGCAATATAAAAAAAAATAAGGACAATAAAAAAACCGATGATTGACAACCAACATCAAAATTGATACCTCCACCTATTAACATAAAAGAAGTAAGAGTGATACACCATAAAAAAAATAAAAAAATAGGGTACGTGACCTTTTTGAAGATTTGATAACTCCACTTTATCCTTCATTGTTATTAGTTGTCCTTTCTACACAGACAACTTTTTACTAATATAAGGTTAATACAATATAGTATTTATTTAAAAGATTTTTAATTATTTGATAATAAAAGTTCGTATATTCTTATAAATGCCATGCTTAAACGTAAGGCTTTAATAGATAACAATAATCATTTAATCATTAACAATTTAATACATAAATTTATCAATTTTCATATTTAAAATTTGGGTAGACTATATATTTAATACCCCAATTATCACTTTTATTTCATTTTAATTACCAAATTATTTTTTTCCAAAATTATATATAATATTATGTTTTTGTCAACCGCGAGTAGAAAACTAATGTGATGATGATATAATATATTTTATTATTTTTTAACATTGATGTGTCATTTTTAATTATTTTTTATTTTTCAAATCAGCAAACCATATACGTATATATATATATATATGTGTGTATGTATGTATGTATATGTATATATTTTATGAGAATAAGATAGAAATGGAGTGCGAGTTGCATTTTGAACCCTGGTACCTTTGGAAGAGGTTGAAAGCCTGGCCCGTGCTTATTATTTATGTTTTACCAGAGTATATATTAGCCCATGAACAAGAAGAGTTATTCCCATTTGATATGCTTTAGAAATTTTACAGATTTTATTCTTATCAAGTTAAATATATTCTCTGGTAAAACATAAACTATAAGCATGTATCCGTGAGATTTTGTTGGGATCGATATTGATCTTTTAATCATTGTGTTTGAGGGAGGAAGGTCAAGATATATTGAAAAGCATGTTAGCTTGGATGCTAACATGCTAGATCGTTCTAAATTTTATTTGTTATTATGCATGAATTTACGTAGCGATGGTAATTTCCCCAAATTTGATTCGACTTTATTTAATATGATTGAATTTTTTTCTAAAAAAAATTAAGTTCGGATTGGGTCGGATCAGGTCTTTTAATGAGAGAGATCGGGTCAGCTCGGTTTCAGGTGGAGGGTAAAAAAATTCTGACCCGACCAGAGAATAATAATGTAATTTTATTTTAAAAAATTATTATTATTTTAATTAAATCATTATTTTATATCGGATCGGGTATAGTTTATACTCTTAAAACTCGGTCGGGTCAAAGTCGGGTGAATGATATAAAAATTTTAGGTCGGGTTATGGTGGATGATATATATTTTTGGGTCCGATAGGGTTGATAAAAAACCCAACCCTAATCTGACCCGTTCCCATCCCAAAAGATATGAACCAAGTTATCTCCATACTTAAATGAATAATTGTTATTCCTAAATATTTGATGTTTAAGCACAAAAAATGGTAGGACATTTAAAAGTTTATTATCAAATGATTGAGATTATAAATTTTAATATAATAATATTTATCACTATATTATAATTGTAGACTCAATATTTAAATATGGTTAACTTTTTTTATATATAAAATCACTTATATTAAATTTATTAATATGTTAATCTAAAATTCTAAAACCATATATTGTAGAAGTTTAATATGTATATACCCTTTCAATTCATTTTATTTCATATGTATAACTTTATTTAAATAATTTAATGTCTCATTTCATTCGATCAACTGTTCTGGGTTGCGATTAAACTTATTAATCAAACGGTTTTGCAAATTCAATATGAAACTCCCTCGACAAGTATCGGACAAACCGAACGGTACTTTTTCAACCTATCCGGTTTTCCTTTCACACAACATTACTTGTTGGTAGTGAAGGGATGAAAAAGTAGAAATAATTTTATAATCATTTGGTCCAAACCAAAAGGTCGGGCTAAACCGTCGGATCTAAAAAGCGGGTCTCCAATCCCAAAGCCAATATGAAAAAAGAACCGAACCCGATTCACATTTACCGCGAATCAAGCGCGTGATAAACGGCGGCGATCATAGCATCTTTGACCGACGACCTCAGTGGCTTTTCACGGCGACTCTTTATTGGGAACGCGACGAAAATGGGACCCCTTCCTGCTTTCTTTAATCACGCGCCATAACGAGTATTATAATAAATTATCAGAAAATCTTCTACACAAAATCTACGCATATATACCAGAGTCATACCAGACCGTTGTATCTGTCCATTGATAGTTTTACGATACGACGTCTTAGTATACGTCTAAAATAATGTATTATTAATTTTATTATTATTTAAAATAATAAAATCGGTAAAAAATATTAAAAATATTATTATTTTTACAGTTTTAATTACTTATATAAATAAAAATAATAAAAAAAATTTGGTACCAAAAATATTATTTTGTGACCGAATTTTTTTTACCACATTTATCTATATAAATAATTAAAATCAATAAAAATAATAATATTTTTGATATTTTTTTATCAATTTTATTATTTAAAATAATAATAAAACTGATAACACTTTATTTTAAGTATATAATAAATCGTCGCACATGAGTGTTTTCTCAAAAATTGTGGGCGGGTCCCACTTTCGCTTTATTAGTGTAACGGAGTCGTAGGATCATGATGCTACGGTGCACCTAATCACAACGGAACCATCATTCGACAGAGATTATGTTTAGAACATCAAGGTTTTAAATATGAATTAAAAATTCAAAAAATGATTGCATAAAATAATAATACCGCCATGACTTTCTGAGTTAATACTATACTTTTGTATTTTTCCCATACGATATATTATTTTCTAGATATGATAATAAAATTTTCTTAATTTTTAATTAAATAATTAGTTTGATCTATACATATTTTTGGAATAATTTAGTATTAATGTTTTATTTTGGTAAAAAAAACTCTTGAATAAAAAATATTTAATTAATAAACCATCATTTTAAAATAAGATCTTATGAGATAAGGTGATACGTTGTATTTCAAAATATTCTAAAAAATATTTTTTTTATTAAATTAAGATGATTGTAAAGTAATAAATGTTATATATATTCTCAATTATTTTATAGCGAACGTTCTATCACACCTGCTACAGTCGTCGGTGCTCGAAAACAAAAGGTTGAATTGTTTTTTTGAACAACGTTTGATAATTAAAATGTTAAAAGAAGAGTAAAAGCTAAACTGTCTATTAAGTTAAATGCTAAAAGATTTTTTATTCTAAAATAAAACGTTTGATGTTTTAAATGTTAAAAAAATATATATATCTAAATGATTATTTAATCAAAAATTAGAATTATTCCTATATTATATTTTTTTAATATATTGATCTATTAATTTAAATTTCGTATTATAGAAGTTTAATTATAAAGATGCTTTTGCATGAATCAAGAGGTCTTGATAATAAATAAGTTGTCATTATTTCTAGCGGTGAATCCAAAAATATTTTTTAAGGTAGACACTTACATATTAAATATTGAAAATTTTTGTATGAGTAGGTACAAAGAAATTTCAAGGTCGACATCCATAATAAAATGAACAATTAATACAAAAAAATTCAAATTTCAAGGAGGACACGTGCCTACTCTGAATATGCTTTGCATCCACAATTGATTAAGGACCCACATTCGAACACCATAAATATTAAAAGTGTGAAAGTTCAATTTCAAATGATTGAGAGTATCTTTAAATAAATATTATATTGTATTTTTACTAGATTAATAAAAAAATATGGTATTTTATGATTTAATCCTTGAATTGTATAAATACAATATAATAATTAAAAATAAAATAAACTAAATGATATTTAGCAATCTCAACCAAATAAAATTTAAAGGTATTTAATTAGGTGTTATCATGATTAATTAAAGTTAAAAGAGAGATTGAAAGCGCCAGTGTGAATAAAGTAGTTAGAAAACATGAAAGGTTAACGATGATAAAGTAGGAAAGGACAAAATAAGTGGGTAGAAAGCAGCAAATGGAAGGGAAGGAAACCCATTTGCAGCTGATTTCGACACTGTAATTTGTTAACTTCTATTCTTTTGCTTAATCCACTTGAAAAAAAGGAGATATTTTTAAGAAGAAACTCGCTGTTTAAGCTTATATATAGCTCGGCAAAGGTTTAAGTTTTTAAAGAGAGATACATCGATAAGCAAAGGGTACTTAATAAGATTGGTTAAGAAATAACACTGTTCCCACCCGCCTTTTCGGTCTCCTCCTTCCCATGTGACTCTTTCTTCAAATCAATCCCCATCCATTAAATATACTTCTTCATAATACTGTAACCATTTATTAAATCTGAAATCTCTAAGAGTTACTTCTTCTGTCTCTTTTGACACTGCCACTGCTGGTTTGGGTTGTGGTTTTTTTTATCCCGGGAATGTTTCTAAGGTTTGGGGTTTTCTGGGTTTTTTGTGTTGGGATGATGAGTATGAGTTTCCATTGAAGTTCTGCTTAAAGCCCGGAAATGGAGAGGGTTTTGTTTGGACACTTAGTTTTATTGCTTCTCGTTTGCTTCGGCTGCTTGTTCTCTGTTCCAGTTTCGGGTCGACATGGACCAATCTCGGATCATGCCAAGTTCATTTTTGGTTGGTGTTTTTTTTACATCTCTTTTGATTTGGGACGTTATTGTTTAATCTCAAACGTTACTTGGTTTTATTCATATATGTTTCTGTTGTGATTTGATATTCATTGTTATATTTGGTTGTGGAAGAGAAATGGAATTTTGGGTGCTAGGATTAGATCTCAAATGATTATTTTGATCTTGAGTTCTTAACCTATGTAATCAAGACAAAGGACTGATCTTTATTGCTGTTTGATATCTCTAATTGTTTCGTTTTTGTTTCGGTTTGTTGAGTATGCAGGAGGGGTGAATTTAGGTCCATGGAAGAATGGAATATCTGAGTTGGCACAAGCACCAGCTCCCACGGATGATGAGCCTCCAAATACGCTGGTTTTGGCAGCCAAAAGGACAAATCGGCCGGACATTCTTCGCCATTTCAAGCATTATCTCGGTGGGTGGGATATTACCAACCGTCATTACTGGGCTGTAAAGTCTTGGCTCTACCCTGCATTCTTGTTAGTCTTTGGATTGGTTTGTTGAATATGATTGCTTTTAGAGCTGGTTTATCCTCTGTATTGTTGAAATGTAAATATCATATTAGACTTTGTAAAGACTATATCTTTAAGCCAAAGTTCGAATCTGTGTCAAATAAGACTGAATCCTATTTTTGACAGATATGATAGAGAGAACCGGATAGAATTTGAAATAGAAATTGTAGTTGTTTGGGACTTAAATGCTAGAGAAATTGTATGACAATAGTCAGTACCTTTTTTACCGATTTTTTTCAGGAAGATATGCATTATGTTTGGATTTTTTCAATGAACTAAGGTAGGAGGATTATGGCTATGCTAAAAGTAAATACGGTCGAGCTGGTAGCAGATTTTCTTAGATGAACTATGATCATTTGCTAACAAGGCCTTTTTTATCTATGACCCACTCACACTGCTTTCAAAGCTATAATTTGCATGAATTATTGAGATTTCATTGCAAATTATGATGCTTCAACATACCTCTAATTGACATTTTGACTGTGGTATCTGCAGTCTGTTGGATTTACAGGTGCTGTTGGATTCATTTTCGCTGTTTTATGGTTTGTTTCTTTCGGCTTGGTTCTTGCGGTATATCATTGTTGTGGATGGAGAGTAAACATCGAAGGAAAAAGATCAGATCGTTCCCAAAGGATTTGTCTTATAATGCTGATATTGTTCACAAGTGTTGTAGCGTAATGATCCAAACCCTAGACCTTCTACAATTAAGATCTTTGTCGAGCTTTTTATTTCTGTGCATATTTTTCTCTTGAAAGTAATATATTAACCTCTTTTAGGCTAGTTTTTTCTGACCCTAAATCTCTTACTGAGCAGGACGGGATGTGTTCTTCTTTCTGTTGGGCAAGATGAGTTTCATGATGAAGTGTTGCATACTTTGAAATATGTTGTAAACCAGTCAGACTACACTGTGCAGATATTAAAAAATGTTACACAGTACCTATCTCTAGCTAAAACCATTAGTGTGGCTCAGGTGTTCCTTCCTTCTGATGTTATGACTGATATTGACAAGTTGAACATAGATCTGAACTCAGCAGCTGATAAACTTACCGAAAAGACCAGCGAAAATGCTGTCAAAATGAGAAGAGTCTTCAATGCTGTGTATGGTCCCCCTAAACAATTAATATTACCTCTTCACTTTAGAATTAATTTGCAAATCGATATGTTAATACTTAGTCTGTCAATTTTAAATTTATTTTCAGGCGATCAGCATTGATCACAGTGGCAGCTCTAATGTTAGTTTTGGCTCTGCTTGGTCTTGGTAAGTATCAACAGAAGGTTTTGATGACTTTTATCTCATTGCTCTGTATCGTTTACATGGCTGAAGCCTATCTGAAATTTGTGCCTTATTTTGTTGCAGTGTTGTCTGTTCTAGGGCACCAACATGTCATTCACATGTAAGTTCTTTTGGGGCCGGTGTACTTTTAGTGGAAAAGCATGTTCTGAAACTAAAAATCCCCTGTGGTCCTTGGCAAATCCTCTACTTTCGATTCTACTACAACTTCATATGTTTTTCTGACACTACCAATCACTTGTTGCAGGTTCATAGTCAGCGGATGGTTACTAGTAGCTGTTACATTCGTTCTTTACGGTGTTTTCGTAATCATGAACAAGTAAGATTTTCGAAGTTTTCATTTTTGCTTACTTATTAAAGAATCTAAAACCCGGTTTGGCATCCATCACACTCTTAGTTTGTTTATATACAAAATGCACCGGCTCCCCTGCCTTCAATTCTTCAAAGTTGCTTGCTGATACAATTTTGACAATATATCAGCTTTGACATCTGTAGTTTGTTCGAACAAATTAATTCCTCCATGTCATTGCTGTTGCTTTGTTTCCTCCCTTAACGTCATATATGATTGTTTGGCTATATTTTGTCTGATGGATGTATGATCTCTTGTGTGTTTCAGTACAATTTCTGACACTTGTATGGCCATGGAAGAATGGGTGGAAAATCCCCATGCAGAGACCGCTCTTAGCAATATCCTTCCTTGTGTTGATCCTCGAACGACAAACCATACACTCACTCAAAGCAAACAAGTCATAACTAGTATAGTAAATGTTGTCAATACATACATTTACTCCATTGCCAATTCAGATCTTTCCCCTGACGACGATCGTTACTACAATCAGTCCGGGCCTCCAATGCCTCCTTTATGTTACCCGTTTGACTCTCAGCTCCAAGATCGGCAGTGTGGGCCTTACGAGGTTTCCATGGCAAATGCTTCTCTGGTATGACTGTCAACTTTGATAATACCGTTGCTGGATAAACCTTCATCCTGCAATAAAAACAGTTGCAAGAAAAACTCGACCACACTTGCGTTTAACTCTTTTATCTTTCAGGTTTGGCAGAACTATACGTGCATGGTATCAGAATCCGGTCTATGCAACACCACCGGAAGGATAACGCCAGACAGATTCACACAGCTGGTGGCAGCGGTCAATGAGAGTTATGCTCTCGAGCACTATACCCCACCATTACTGTGCCTGCAAGATTGCGATTTTGTCCGAGAGACATTTCAAAATATCACGTCGAATTACTGCCGTCCATTGGAGCATCACCTCAAGATAGTAAATGCAGGACTGGGGCTAATCTCGGTAGGAGTTTTGCTTTGTCTAGTTCTCTGGATCCTCTATGCAAACCACCCCCGAAGGGAGGAAGTGTTTGTGAAGATGCTATTGCCGAAGACGCTATTGTCGAGCTGCAAGAACTTTTTCAGCACAAACGGCAAGAACAACACAACATCGTCGATCACAAATGGTGTCTAAAATTATAGCAGCAAATTAGGTTGAAGTAAATTCTTTTCTTTTTTTTACTGGGATAGAAACCAAGATGGGGAAAAATCCCATTTTTGAGTTGGAAGGGTGATCTCCTGTCGTTTTCATATATATATATATATATGAATATGGGAAGTAATTGATTGTTAGTCATCCCAGCTTTAGATGATCCCTTAATTTAGTAGAAAATGTTATAGTTGTAGGGACATTGGAGCTACTGTAAGAAGGGGGGGGGGGGTTAAAGTATATTGATTTCTTTCAAAAGTCGAACCTTAACAAATCCTCGTCCCATGATGAGCCTTCCTCTACATAAATATATACGTACTCTTGCATCCTTTTCCTGATATAAGGAGCCAACTACGACCTCACATCACTATTGTTGAGACAAGTCAAAATACATAATGCGTTATCATCATTGCCATAGATTTTATGTTTCAAAGCTTGGCTTAGGTTATTTGCTACAGCTATAACATCATCATCTCTATCATGATGATCATCCTCGTCGTTGTCATTGTTCTGTCTTGCAATAAAATACAAAGTTCGATGATTGTTTTATAGGTTTTAAAAGTTCGGTGATCAAAATACAAACATCTTAAAATCTAAAAATTATTTGTATAATTTACATGTATATTCAAAACTAAGTTAATAATATTTTTTTTATTAATTTGTGATAAGTACAAGGTAATTTCTGTTAAAAAAATAAGTCTCAATCATTTAAAATTGAATGCTCATACTCTTGATGTTTTCGGTGCTTCAACCCAAAACCTTAAAGGATAACAATAATTCTTTTATTACCGACATAGTTGATTTATATAAATTAATAATATTAAATTTACTTGTAACACTAATTCGGTTATCCGTATACAATAAGTATAAATGATAGTTTTAAGTTTAGTGGGTTGTTGTCTCTCTTTTTATTTCCTTTTTCCTTTTGTTTAATTTTTTATTTAGGTCTAAATAATCATTTTTCTTGTTTTAATTTAATTTTAAATAATCATTCTCTATTTTGATTTTTTTGGTATAGTTTTGAAGCATTGTTTCTGTTTGTTTTTATGACATGATTGTTCTTTTGTTTTTATACCATGATTTTATCTATCATTATGATAGTTTGACATTTCATGTTGCATTCATCACGACACATCTTGTGATTAGGAAAGATTAACGGTTTCGAATAGTTAGATCCCATTTGTGTCAATTTGTCAATACATTTAGAACCGTTCATATAGCAATATGTCAGATTGATTCTCTTATTCTCCACACTTACATCAATATTGTATCTAGGTTCGAATAGACGAGGAGATTATTAATAGTTACTAGATTTTTCTAGAAGATAAAATATGTATTCAAAGAAAATGTTTTAATGTTATTTTTCTCCAAGTCCTTTGTACTTTCATGTTGAGATGGTATTGTCTTTATTATATCTTACCTTTTATTTATATTTAGTGAAAATCTAGTTTATTATTAAAAGAAAACATTAAAAATAATATTAAATTTTAAAAAATGAAGAAATATTAAAAAATATAAGAATTTTCTAATTTTTAAAATTTTAAGGATTTTTAATAACTTTATACTTTTTATTTTTTTAAAATAAGCATATATTTAAAGTTCAATTTGCAAAAAATAATTTTGATAATTTTAATATATCTATTAATATATTTATGTTTTACTGAATATCTATTATTTCTTATTTAATGTTTTTCTAGTTTTTATTATATGCATAATATATTTTAGGGTTAACTACATAATTGATCAGTTATATTTGTGTTTTGTCCACTTTTTCTCATTGATTTAAAAAAAACATAATACGTGATTACTTTCATTTTTATTTAATTAAAATATGTTACTTTTGTTTTTATTTAAGATATGGTCACAACATGTTAACCGTCGTTAACATTTAACAGATTAAGTGATATGATATTTTGGTATAATCACACATTTAATCCATGCTATTTATATATTTTTCAATTTAATATTACTTTTAATAAATTAAAATAAATTTAATCATCCAATCGAATGATGTCACATATCTATGGTGCCACATGTCACCATTCAGTTAGAGTACTAACTGCAAAATATTTTAACATAAAATATATATTTTTAAATAAAAATAAAAATAAAAATATTTAAAAAAGAATAATAAATATATTAAATTAAAATAAAGTTAGTCATCCAATCGAATGGTGACACATGACATGGAACGCGATACCAGTGACACATGGTATCATTCGATTGGAGGATTAAATTTATTTTAATTTATTAAAAGTATAATTAAATTGAAAAATATATAAATAAAAGAAATTAAATATGTGATTATATTAAAATATACTCGTGATATGAAATCTTAATTAAATAAAAATAAAATTATTAATATATTATATTTTTTAAAATTAATGAGAAAAATAAATAAAACACAATATAAATGATCAATCACCTAATTGACTTTATATTTTAATGAGAAAATACGAGACTATTGTGACGAATAGAATGAAAGTGAAGAGACTAAATTGAGTAATAAAATAGATATTAAATTAAAATATGTTAAATAAAGAATAAAAAAGCATTACGTAATCGGATTCATTCATGAACAGTATTATTAGCTGTAGATATGGAACGCGGCAAGAATCTTGGAAAAGTTGAAGACCAATGTCCACTCTCCCATTGGATGCCTCGTAAAAGGCAAACTAATATACGACATTATTAAATACATTAAAAGATATTTAATAAATTTGATTTAACGCTACCGGAAATGTTGAGTAATAATAATATAGTAGGTCTAAATCATGAAGAAATATTAAAAAAATTGACAACCGGCAAACTTAGCTTGTCGGTTTATGTCAATATTTTATAAAAATGCATCGATCTACATCAATATAACAGGAAAAAAATATGACAAAACCGATCACGAAAAGACAAAACTGGTAAAACGCTACCGGATATATTAAAAGTGTCGATACGTTAATATAAGTATCGACACATTGTGAATTTAAAGGAGAATCAATTTTAGCACCTATAAAGTGTCGATTCTTTATAAATATGTATCGATCCACAATGATATAACAGGTAAAAATATGACAAAACTGGTCTCAAAAAGACAAAATCGGGTAAGGCGTTACCAAATATATTGAAAGTGTCGATACTTTAATATAAGTATCGACACTTTGTGAATTTAAAAGAGAATCAATTTTAGCTTTTATAAAGTGTCGATATTTTATAACAATGTATCGATCCACAACGATATAACATGTAAAAATATGACAAAACCAGTATCTAAAGGACAAAACCGTTATAGAGCGACCAAATATATTGAAAGTGTCGATACTTTAATATAAGTATCGACACTTTGTGAATTTAAAAGAGAAGCATTTTTAGCGCCTATAAAGTGTCGATACTTTATAAAAATGTATCGATCCATAACGATATAACAGGTAAAAATATGACAAAATCGGTATCTAAAGGACAAAACCGGTATAGAGCGACCAGATATATTTAAAGTGTCGATATTTTAATATAAGTATAAACACTTTGTGAATTTAAAAGAGAAACAGTTTTAGCGCCTATAAAGTGTCGATATTTTATAACAATGTATCGGTCCACAACGATATAACAGGTAAAAATATGACAAAACCGGTCTCGAAATGACAAAACCGGTAAAGCGCTACCGGATATATTGAAAGTGTCGATACTTTAATAAGTACGTGTAATAAATTATTGATACTTTCAAAGAAATATATAATTATACTATCGAAAGTATCGACACATGACATAAAAGTATCGACACTTTTGTAGTTGTATCGATTAAATATAAATAACATATCCGGTCAAAATATAAAGGGCATAATTAAATATCCTCTGAAAAATAGATAGAACGAACGAGTTTTTGAAATCGAAGCGTAATTGTTGCTGCATTTCAGAAGGCGTTTCTAAAGCGAAGTTTGTTTGTTTGTTGCTACAGTCGAATCGAAAAGTACGTTGTCGAAACACTAGTTTTTTATTATTACAGTAATTAGAAATAGGGTTTTTATGTGTTGTTTGGGGTTTTGGAGTAAAGAAGCATTTGAGACCGATTACAGGTAGAAAGTGATATTCTAGGTAAAATATAAATATCGATACTTTTATTAAATATTATAGGTAGAAAATGATATTATAGGTTGTATAAATGTGTCGATACTTGGAGTATTGAGTGTTCCCATTCATTTGAAGGAAATAGGGATTAGGGTTTTTAGGTTTGGTTTGGGGATTTCGAATCGAAGCCAAGAAGGATTTGGGACCGATTATATAATATTATAGGTAGAAAATAAATATGGATACCTGTATATAATATTATAGGTAGAAAATGATTTTTTAGGTTGTATAAATGTGCCGACACATTTTGTAGTGGCCATTCAAATTCTTTTGAAGAAAACCGTTTTACCACAAGAGTAGTTATCTATATTTGTATATTGAATAAAGTGTATGTAACAAGTGTTTGATTTGATTTGTGTAAACTGATATATGGAGGAAAAATGGAGTCAATGGGTGGAAATATTGTTGGTGGCGCAGATGACTTTGAAATTGAGGCCGAGACTCGAAAGCAACCAAAGGGTGGATATATGTACTTCTAGTAAGTATCAATGTCTTTTTGTTATTATTGTTGAAATGATAATTGGATTAAAATATTTAAGAATTTTAAATTGATGACAAATTTTAAATGTTGACAGTATGACCGAATGCAAAAGGATGAAGGAAGGTGGCGAACACATCGATTCGGTATGTAAATTGAAATTGACATTGAGTATTATTTAGCGTTAATGTATTGATTAAAAACGTTTATGCGTAATATTAGGTGAGAAATGATGTGTTGGAGAAATGGAATTCGTTGACTGATGCTAAGAAGGAACCTTACATCGCACAATCAAAGATGGATAGTGAAGAATACAAAGAATGGAGGAAAGCACATGAAAAGAAGGTATTCATTAAACTTGTAAATACGATACAAAATATATAAGAACTATAACATTATATATTGCTAAAAAATGTAGGAAGTGTCGATAAGGTGCAGCATTAAAATGGTGAATTCATTAATTATACACCTTAAGGAGAAGGATCAGTTGAATGTGCTGGGAGAAATGAGGTTTGGATCGTTGGTAGGAGTAAGGGATCGACCTATTCGGAAGGAATTGTGTCGATCCTTGATGGCGCAATTTGATGTCAAACAATGTATTGCTAAATATGGTGATTTTTCATTTCCTCTCGGGATCCCATGT